CGCATGGGCTTTAGTAGTTGTGGCACACGGGCTCAGTAGTTGTGGCTTGTGGGCTCTAGAGCGCAGGCTCAGTAGTTGTGGCGCATGGGCTTAGTTGCTCTGCGGCATGTGGGATCTTCCTGGACCAGGGCTCGAACCCGTGTCCCCTTATTGGCAGGCGGATTCTTAACCACTGCACCACCAGGGAAGCCCCCCCCGCCAAATTTTTTTAAGTAAAAAATACAAAGCAAAGCACCAACCACAAAGTTTGGTTGCAGTTTATAAAGTGTACTTCAGTTTAAGGAGTCCTCTGGGCAATATTCTGTTGGCCACAAATCCCAGCAAAGCTCACCGAGAGCTTTATTATCTGCTAACCCAGGGATGTTCCCAGGCTTTTCAAACTGTGTATCCACCCTGTTAATGGGTTGTGAAGTCAGCTTGCTGGGTTGTGGTTAGCATTTTAAGAAATGAAATGGAAAAGAATAAAAAATATCAGAGTAATTGAATGTAGTAAGGGTAAGTATAGTTCAATGATACTTTTATGTCAGTATATCTGTGTGTGTGTGTGTGTGTGTGTGTGTGTGTGTGTATGGAACGGGTTACCATGTTAATGGTATTTCTTATTCTGGGTTGCCATCATGAAAGTTTGAAAAATACCTGTTAAACTCTAACATTCTAGGTCAAAGGCAAATAGTTTATAAGTTCTCAAACTGTGGTTTTTAAATATATGTGTATTGTGTGCTGAGTCAAAATGTAATTTTTAATTTTATTTTACTTTTTTTAACTGTTTCTAGTTTTTACATTTTTGGAAAACACTGCTTAGAATTTACAAAGAATCCTGAATTGGGATTCAGGATAAAGGAGACTGAAGAGATTTGACAAATATTAATAAATGTAATGTGCGATCCTGAATTGAATCCTGGATATTGTATATATAGATATATATTCAACATTCAATTCAATATGTATATATTGAATATATGTATATAAAATATATACATTGAAAAATATATATATATATGAACATCCGTAAAGGACATGAGTAGACCAGTTGGGGAAATTAGAATATGGACTGTAGACTAGCGAACAGTATCATATCCATGTTAAATTTCCCAAGTAAGAAGTTGTCCTGTGGTTCAGTAGGAGGCTGTCCTTGTTCTTAGGTACATGCTGAAGGTTTTAGGGTTGGGTAAGCCGTCTGCAGCTTACTCTTTTTTTTTTTTTCCTTGTTGTTTATATGTATTTATATTTATATTTTATATATAGTAGTGTGCATCCGTTAGTCCCCAGCTCCTAATTTATCCCCTCTCCCTTTTCCCCTTTGGTAACCATAAATTTGTTTTCTATGCCTGTGAGTCTATTTCTGTTTTGTGAATAAGTTCATTTGTATCTTTTTTTTAGATTCCACATATAAGTGATATCACATATTTGTCTTTCTCTTTCTGACTTACTTCACTTAGTACGATGATCTCCACGTCCATCCATGTTGCTGCAAATGGCATTTTATTTCATTCTTTTTTATGGCTGGGTAGTATTCCATTGTATATATATTACCACATCTTCTTTATCCATTCATCTATTGATGGACATTTAGGTTGTTTCCATGCCTTGTTTATTGTATGCAACGTACTCTTAAATCATACTGAAAAAAGATTATGGAAGGAGAGACAGATCAAATACTGTAACAAGTTAACACTTGTTAAGAGTTAACAAGGGTAACAAGTTAACACAAGAGAACATGTGTGCTCCTTGTTCCATTATTACATCTTTTCTGTAAGTTTAAAATATTTCTAGCTAAAAAGTTTAGGAAAACAAGTTTTTATCACTTGCTAGAATATTAGAGTTTACAACATATGTTTTTCTTGGTAAACTGTGTGACCATTTACAAACCTCTTGACAAAGTTAAGGAGTTCACAGCTTACAAAATATTTTGCTGTTTACATCATCTATTAGAATTTATAAAGAATTTTATCATTGGTAAAGCAGATTACAAAGTATAGTTAACGGAGGGCCTAAGTACATATATTATTTTTAGTGAAAACCTGTCTTATATATATATTTATTTATTTTGTTGCACTGGGCCTTAGTTGTGGCAGGCGCGCTCCTTAATTGTGGCATGTGACTCTTAGTTGCGGCATGCATGTGGGATCTCGTTCCCTGACCAGCGATCGAACCCAGGCCCTCTACAGTAGGAGTGCGGAGTCTTAAGCATTGCATCACCAGGGAAGTCCCTATATGATATTTTATTGTTTGCAAAAGAACACACTGAGTACACTGAGTTTACTGTTTATATGGGATATTCAAATTTACAAAGAATGTCATATGCTTTAGAGTTTGCAAAGGATTTTGCTGTTTCCAAAGGATATTATACGTTCCAGGTACTTTGCATTGTAGAAAGCGCTTGAGAGCCTGCACCGCAAAAATGAGAGTTTACAAAGTGCGGTATATGATTTGCCGAACACATGACAGTGTTTTGCCGATGGTGCATTGATTCACAGTCTCAAGGCACCGCACGTTCACAAAGAGGTCTCTTCAGTTCAGGAGTTACGCAGCAGTGCACTTTCCACAAAGTTGTTTACCAAGATTTTGTGGGATTCCAGAGCATTGAACATTCACTGCCTCAACTGACCCTCTCAGGAGACCTGGGAAGGCAGCAGAGGGATGTTTATCCCAGGTTTAGTTGGGGAAACTGGAGCCCGGAGAGGGGAGGAGACTTCCTGAAGCCCAAGGTGGTGGGGGGCAGAGGTGGTTTCCCAGTTCCAACGTGTCCCGGGCTGTTTCCACTGCCCCCAGCCTGGCCTGGGTAAGAGCCTCACCGCCCCCTCATGGAAGGTGGGAGAAGCACTGGGCACCCTCCCTGCCCTCTGTGGGCCTGAGTTTAACCTCACTAGCATTCAGGTGACGCCTTGATGGGAGGATGGCTGTGTGTTTGTGTATTGGCAGGGGTGGGGAGACCCTGCCATTGAAGAGCCCGCTTCTTATGCTGAGTGGGGAGACCAGGTACCTGCAGAGGACTGAGAACAGCCCCAGAGGGGAGGGAGCCCAGGCTGAGGGGCTGAAACAATCTGGAAAACTCCTCAGAGGAAGAAGTATGCCAAGCTGGGTCTAGAACAATGGGTAACAACTGGAGGAAGGGAGGAGGTACTTGAGGTGGGAAGAATGGTGGGAGGTGACAGAGAGCAGAGCAGATGGAATGATGGAGGAAGACAGCATGATGTGGAGAGACCAGGCCAGAGGGTGAGAAGGGTTAGCGCAGTCATCTGGAACTCAGACTCTGGAGTCAGCCTGCCCCTTCCTTCACACTATGGCTCAGGCAAGTCACTTGCCATTTCTAGGCCTCAGTTTCCACATCTGTAAAATGGGGATAATGACAATATCAACCTCACTGGGTGATTGTGAGGACTGAATGAGTTAATACTTGCAAGGCACTTGGAACAATGCCTGATACATTGGTCATGCACCAAAAAAGTGTTTGTTAAATTAATTAGAAAGGGAGACAGAAGGTCTCAGAGGGAGAAATAGCAGAAGCAGCAGAGGAAGATGGATGGGGGACAGAGAGCTTGAGACACACAGAGGGTCAGGTTGGGTGACGACTCCCCCACGGGCCTCCTGCGGAAGGTGGTCCTGGCTTGGGTGGGGATGAGCGACATTTGGGGGCTCTGACCAGCCCGTCTTGAGGGCAGGGCACATTGGGTGAGGAAGGCAGCATTGGAAAACAATCAAGGGGTCTGGGTAGGAGAGGCCTCCGATGCCAAGGTGAGCTGTCTAACCACCTGTCTCACCCATGTCTCCAGCAGAGGCAGCAGCTGCTCCAGCTGCGGCTCCTGGCCCTGCCCAGCCTGGGCACGTGTCCCCAACACCGGCCACCACATCCCCTGGCGAGAAGGGTGAGGCGGGCACCCCAGTGGCTGCAGGCACCACTGCGGCTGCCATCCCCCGGCGCCATGCCCCCTTGGAGCAGCTGGTTCGCCAGGGCTCCTTCCGTGGGTTCCCGGCGCTCAGCCAGAAGAACTCACCTTTCAAACGGCAGCTGAGCCTACGGCTGAATGAGCTGCCATCCACGCTGCAGCGCCGCACTGACTTCCAGGTGAAGGGCACAGGTGAGCCTGGGGCTCAGCAGGAGGGAACATCGGGATCAATGCCACTGTCTGTTGTAAGCGAGAGATAGAGAAGAGGTGGTACACACCATGATTTTGTTTTTTAACATCTTTATTGGAGTATAATTGCTTTACATTGTTGTGTTAGTTTCTGCTGTATAACAAAGTGAATCAGCTATCCGTATACATATATCCCCATATCCCCTCCCTCTTGCATCTCCCTCCCACCCTCCCTATCCCACCCCTCTAGGTGGTCACAAAGCACCGAGCTGATCTCCCTGTGCTGTGCGGCTGCTTCCCACTAGCTATCTGTTTTACATTTGGTAGTGTATATAAGTCCATGCCACTCTCTCACTTCGTCCCAGCTTAACCTTTCCCCTCCCCGTGTCCTCAAGTCCATTCTCTGCGTCTGCGTCTTTATTCCTGTCGTGCCCCTAGGTTCTTCAGAACCTTTTTTTTTTTTTAGATTTCATATATATGTTAGCATATGGTATTTGTTTTTCTCTTTCTGACTTACTTCACTCTGTATGATAGACTTTGGGTCTATCCACCTCACTACAAATAACTCAATTTCGTTTCCTTTTATGGTTGAGTAATATTCCATTGTATATATGTGCCACATCTTCTTTATCCATTCATCTGTCGATGGACACGTAGGTCACACCATGATTAATTAGCACTGCCTGCCACAGGCAAAGGAGAGGAGCAACATGTGATCAATTAGCAATGTCTGCCATCAGCCTGGGAGAGGAGAGAGGTAGTGTAAGCTGCGATCGATTAGCAATGTCTGCTCCAGGCAAGGGATAGCAAAAAAGTGGCGTAACTCACGATCAGTTAGTACTGTCTGCTGTAGCTAGGGACATGAGAGCAGTGGCATATGTCATGATTGATTAGCAAGACTTCCATGGGCAAGGGAGAGGAGAGAAGCTGCCCAGATGCCATGTTTTTTGCTCAAGAGGAGACTGAGGCACCATAGGCTAATGCTCCCTCCAAGCTTTTGGCCAGTAGAGCCATGAGATCTGGCCAGGTCAAGGATCCAGGTTCAGAGGAAAGAAGAATTGTGATTAACAATGTCTGCCTAGGGCAGGGAGAAAAGAGTGATGACAGACATCATGATCTCCTTACAGTGTCTGACTTGAGCAAGAGAAAAGAGCGAGGTGGCACACCACATGGTTGATTAGCAAAGTTTGCCATGGGCAAGCGAGAAGAGAGAGCAGGAGTATTATGTTTTGCCCAAAGATGACTCCCAGAATTTGGCTTATGGAAACATGAGTTGAAGGGCACAAGTGAGCATGGGGATCATGGGGTCAGGGTGCATAGTGATGGATTCGTGATGTCGCTTCTGGGTAAAGGATTGTGCAGAGGCAGCACCCATCATCATCGATTAGCCATGTCTTCGAGGGAAGATGGAATTGCAAGGACCAGTCCTTTCTTTCAGCATTTGGCCAGTAGAGCCACAAGGCTCTACTGGTGAGGGGTAAGGTGAGCAAAGAGTTCAATGGGAGAAAAGCATCATGTTTGATTACTAATGTCTGCCATGGACCAGGAAAAGGAGAGAGATGGCATATGTTGTGATTTTAAAATGTATGCCATGGGAAAAAGGGAGGAGAGAGGTGGCATGGAACTATGGTTTGCCCGAGGGAGACAGGCAGGAGAGCTGTCTTTCCTCCCAGCTGTCAGTGAAGTCATGTGGTCTGGCCCTCTCTCCTGCCTCCATATGCCAAATCCGAGGCACCTACCCCTTATGGCCCGGGGGACTGGTGTGGGAGGTGTTGATCTGCATCCAGGAGGCTGGGCTACTGCTGAGCAGATGCCAATGCTTGTTGAGAATGACGCATGCTCACCCCATGTTGTGCAGCATCCCAGGTACTGCATGCACCCTCAGATTTGCTGTCCTCATTAAGTAACCTGCCATTAAGTACACCCCCAGGGCTGTCACACCTGCTCCCTGAGAGGTGGCAGGCACCCCAGACTTTATTTAGAAGCCTCACGTGCCTGTAGCCAGTTGCCCACTTGCTTGGATGTAACTTGCCGCACAAAAATTTCATGCACTCACACAGATGTCCCACTCCACTGCGGGTGTCACACACACTTAGTCACACACTTAGTCATGGGCAATCAAAAATCACACACACTTGGAAGTTGCAGGACCAGGTGTTACCATTACACACACTTAGAAAGCACGTATCCAATACAAACTACTGTATATAAAATAGGTAAACAACAAGGCCCTACTGTATAGCAGGGAACTATATTCAATATCCTGTAATAAACCGTAAAGGAAAAGAATATGAAAAAGAATATATATATATGTATAACTGAATCACTTTGCTGTACACCTGAATCTAACACAACATTGTAAACCAACTATATTTCAATAAAAAAGAAAGAAAGAAAGCACATATCCAGGTGTCCCATTCAGAAATCACACACACAGATTAACACACGCTCACGAACGACACACCTGGATTCACACAAACTTGTGTGAATCACAAGTCACATATGCTAATTCATGCCGAATTCCATACATCACGCAGGCAGATTGGCTCACGCTGGGGAATCACAGTCGGGTGCCACAACCTGGATTTCAGTCACACTCAGAGGCCACCCCCCAGAAGCTGCACACCCATTTGGACTAACAGGCACAGTCATCATAGAAATGACCTGGAAGCCACCTCCTGTCCCAGCTGGGCAGCCCCACGTCACACCTGCTGACTCCTACAGCTAGTTTCTTTCTGATGCTCATAGGAGCATCACACACACTCCCTTGGAGATAGCCACTCGCTGAGCTGTCACAGGCACTTGTCACACGCCACACTTGACGGTCCTCTTGTTTATTTGGATGGTGCCTTTTCTCATCCTAAGCCCTCACGAGGCCACCACACCTGCTCAGCATGTCCTGTCTTGCAGGCACAGGTGCATCTCTGCCCTCATGACATATGTTATGGGCCAGGCCTGGTGGGGCCCCGCTTCCGCACTCAAAGCAAGACAGATGATCCCCAGCCAGTGACCAGCAGCGTGGGCAATATCCATTCTGACTAGTCGGTGCTCTTGCCATACGTGTGGTTGAACATTTTTTATTTATATTTTGGGCCGCGCCACGCGGCCTGTGGAATCTTGGTCCCCTGACCAGAGATTGAACCCGGGCTCTGGTAGTGAAAGCACCAAGTCCTAACCACTGGACCGCCAGGGAATTCCCTGAACATATTTTAAAATTAATATATATTGTTAAGCATTTAAAATATTTCTTCTGGTTTGCGGCTACATACAGCTCTTGAGGTCCTCCTTGGTTTGGGATCCCTGTGACTGTCTGCCATCAGATGTCACACACTACTTGGCTGTTGTACCACTCAGATGCCACACACACACACGTGTGCGCAGTTACCACTTTTGTGGCCGTGGCCACTTAGTTACTGCAGAGTGGACCCACCAACCCACACACCTTGTGAGGGCCACCTGCGGGGATGGGGTCAAGGGCAGAGCCTGGGCCTGTTCGCTGACCTCCACCCTTCCCTGACTTCCCAGTGCCTGAGATGGAGCCTCCCAATGCCAGTGACAGCGACAGCATCAGTGCCCTGTGTACACAGATCAGCTCATCTTTTGCCAGTGCTGGAGCGCCAGCACCAGGGCCACCGCCAGCCTCAACAGGTAAACTCAGCCCTTCTCTTGGGGCATATGCCCTGCAGTGCCCCTCCTGCATCCCCCTGCTCCTTTCAGGGCTACTGCAGAGACTCTGGGAATCTTGGAATCCCACAGGCTTAGAACCATGGATCATCTTAGAACCACGGGGTTGTCTCAGAGCCGCGGGTTCATCCTAGAACCACGAGATAACATAAGAATTATGGGGTCACCTTAGAACCATGGAATCAGTTTTTAAACCTTGCTGTCTTAGAACCATAAAATCTAGAAACCTACAGCCTTTGAATCACAAGATATTAGAACCTAACAGATTTGGAGCCAGGAAACCTTGGAATCTTACAACCTTAAAAGAGTGCTCTCTGAGAAAATAGTGCCAAGGAATCACCTTAGAGCCACGTGCTTATCCTAAACACGTGGAAGCACCTTGGAATTACAAAGAATGTAAATTTAGAACTCTAGAATCTTAGAAAACACAAACTTAAAAACACTGAAACTTACCCACTATGTTAGAAGAGTACACTCTGAGAAAGATCCATGCAATCTTAGAATCTTAGCCTCCTAAGACAATACAGTGTCAAAATATTAGAGCCAAGGGTGATATTAAAAAATATTTAATAACAGGTTTGCTACTGACCAATCAGAAGGGAAGCCGGCCTGGGTGATTGTCAGTCGTGCCTATACTTTTCATCTTAGGACCTTAGAATATCAGAAGTGAATTTTTGTAGCACTGCATGACCTGTGGTCCAGGATGGTCAGGCCATTTGCCCAAAGCCCAGGCAGCTAATGAAGAGCAGAGCTGGGTGCAAGGCGGCAAGGCAGCCCGGTCCAGAGTCTGATCCCCAGCCTGGGGTTCTCTCTGCTGCAGCCCGTGCCCCCTAACTGCCCCTCTCCTCTCTCCAGGGACTTCTGCCTGGGGTGAGCCCTCCGCGCCCCCTGCAGCTGCCTTCCAGCCTGGGCACAAGCGGACCCCTTCGGAGGCCGAGAGGTGGCTGGAGGAGGTGTCCCAGGTGGCAAAGGCGCAGCAGCAGGCAGCTTCGGTGCCTGCCGTGCCCCCCGGCCTGCAGCCCTTCCCCGCCCCCGTGGGGCCCTTCGACGCCGCGCCTGCCCAGGTGGCCGTGTTCCTGCCGCCTCCACACATGCAGCCCCCTTTTGTGCCCGCCTACCCGGGCTTGGGCTACCCGCCCATGCCCCGCGTGCCCGTGGTGGGCATCACACCCTCACAGATGGTGGCCAACGCCTTCTGCTCAGCCGCCCAGCTCCAGCCCCAGCCTGCCACCCTGATTGGGAAAGCTGGGGCCTTCCCACCCCCTGCAGCACCCAGCGCCCCTGGGGGCCAGGCCCGTCCTCGCCCCAATGGGGCGCCCTGGCCCCCAGAGCCAGCGCCTGCCCCGGCCCCTGAGTTGGACCCCTTTGAGGCCCAGTGGGCAGCGTTAGAAGGCAAACCTGCTGTAGAGAAGCCTTCCAACCCCTTCTCGGGCGACCTGCAGAAGACCTTCGAGATTGAACTGTAGCCCGAGTCACCCCATCATCTCCAGGAGCCCCACACCTGGGAGTGGAGGCCCAACCTCTCCCCAGTCCTGCTCCCTGGGGCTGCACCCTCCTGACGACCTCTCTAACCCTTCTCTCGACCACCTCCCACGACCAGTACAGAACCGACATTGTGACGCCCAGGTTGCGATAGGATGGAATTCAGGGACGGACCCAGCCTGGCTAAGGGACCCGTTTCTCTGCCAGACTTAGGCTGGCATGGCCCCCTCTCCCCGGAACCCAGACACAGGGGGATGGCCACAATCCCACCGAGTGCCCTCGGTTCAAGCTGTATTTCCCAGTTTCTGTTGTTGACCTTCTACCTTCCAGTATTGGGTGGGATGGAGGAGGGATGCCCACCTGGGGGCCCTCCTCGGCCCCAAACGAGTGCCCACCCCAAGTTTGGTCATTCCCCCCGCCCCCATACACAGCACAAACAAAGGGCTTCCTTCTGCCCACCTGCTGCGTTCACTGCCAATGCTGTGCTCACCCCTACCACCCCTCCCCTCCCCTTGGGGGCCCACATGTTCTTTGGGCCAGGGTCTCATGGGGGTAGGGGGCCAAGTTGGGGGTCCAGGAGGCAGGTAGGGGGAAGGGGAAGGGGAAGAAGATGCTCAGTTACCTCACGTCGGTGCCCGCTGGGGAGGGGTCCGGGAAGAAGGAAGGGGGTGCCTGGCGGGTACTTTTCTATCTTTTATTTCCAGATTTTTTTGTATCTAAACTTGCAGATTTGTATTATACAAGGACAGCCAATAAAGGAAGAATATAATGGTGCCCCTCTAGAAGGCAGGGTGTGTGTGCAGGGGGGATGGTGTGGAGACAGAGCCTTTCCTCCTGAGTCATCTCCTAAAACCAGAGGGAGTAAAAAGGGTCTCCCTGCATATTCACCTCTGAGTCGTAGCACGGGAGCAGGTAACACTGACCCAGCACTCAAGAAGTGGGTTATTAATGGGTACCCCAAATTAATCACTCCATTTCTGATTCTTATAGATTTTGAAACAAGGAATTAAAAAAAACATATAATCTGCTGCTAATAACTTCAGTATTAAAATGTTAAATAATTACGTTTGGAGTAGCGTATCTTCGAGCTGGCGAATTCACGTTTCAGCAACTGCATTTTCCATAACTTAGGCCAAAGTGTCATCTGACGTGGCAGCACGTTTTTAAGTCTCTCTGTTGTTTCTTGGGTTCCTTGATACCATCTACAAAGTTATATATTTTAAAATATATAATATATAAATTATATGTTTAATTCTTTATGGCTCTCTAAAATGATGAGATTGGTTTCATGAAACCCCCAGTATTATATCCCCATTTGACAGATCAGGAAGTTGAGTCACTCACCCAAGGTCACACATCTGATTAGTGGGGGAGCTGGGATTCAAGCCCAGCTTCTGGTCGACCTCAAGGCCAGTCACTGAACCACCAGGCTGTGAGGGAACAAGCCTAGGGTCTGCCCTCAAGGGTTTACATTACAGCCCATCAACCGGCTGGATCCTGGACTAGGGGACCTGTGACAGATGGCTCGCCAGGGCAGCAAGGGGGTCCCCAGGGCCTCTCACTGTTGTGGCCTCTCCCGCTGCGGAGCACAGGCTCCGGACGTGCAGGCCCAGCGGCCATGGCTCACGGGCCCAGCCGCTCCGCGGCACATGGGATCCTCCCAGACCGGGGCTCGAACCCGTGTCCCCTGCACCTGCAGGCGGACTCTCAACCACTGTGCCACCAGGGAAGCCCGAGCCATGCTTTCTTAATCCAAGCCTTTGCAGATGTCATTTCCTCTGCCTGAAACACCCATTCCTGACACTGCCCCTTTTCCCAGTAGAATGCTACTCATTCCTTTTTTTTTTTGCATTGCAGTTTGCATTATTTTCCCCCAATAATAGAATGTCCTGGATGCCATTTCATACAGATGAGTCACATATAGATCTGTGTCACCTCTCTTTTAACACTTCATAGGATGCTACTCATTCTTCGGGCCTCAGCTCAAATATCTCCCCTTCTTAGAAGTGGCGCCTCTTCCAAGGCCCCGCCCCCATCCAATCCTTTCAAAGCTCTGTGACCCATCAGGCTGAGTCAGGGGCCCTCTGCTCCGCTTGGATCCTACAGGGCCCTGTACTTCCCGCATCCTGGCCCTGCCTCCTCTCTGTTTCCCCCAGCCCAGGCCTGACCATTCTGGGCTGTCACTATCTGGCCCCCCACTGGACTGTGAGTGAGGGGTGGGTCTGGGGCTGTCACTTTGGTGTTCAGGCACAAGGCCAGAGAAGAGGCAAACTCAGCAATTCACCGCCACAAACCGCTGGCGAGTGAGAGGGGCAGAAAAGGCCTAGGACTTGGAGATGATTCGAACTACTGGACTGATGGAGCAACAGGCCACGCAGCACACAGAACGTCAGGGACAGAGTCAAGACCGTCTTCCATGCCAGAGGCTGATCTTTACACAACACCATTCTTCGCTGTGCCCAGAGCAGTCTTTCTCAGACACCCCTCCGTGCCCCCCCCCCCCCCCCCACACACGCACACCAATCCCTGGGCCCGCGGAGCTCCACGGATCCCTTATCTCCCGAGGACCTCCCACGGACTCCTCTTAGCCAGTTTCCCCATCTTCCCTCCCACGCCCGATGGAAACTCGCTTCGCTCTTCACGGCGCTTCCCTCTCCACAGAGACCATGGATCTGGGATTAACCTCCCACTCTCACTTCCCCCAAGCTTCGGCTCTCTCAGAATACACCCGAGGACGCGGAGTTAACGTACCAGCCCAACCCAGTGGCCTCGTCCCAACTAACGCCACGTGACGCACTGCCCCCGCCCCCCCCCAAGGGCTTGCTTAGGGCGACTTCCAGCTCCGGCGGCTGCAGCGCCCCCTTCCTGGTTCGCTTTGGAAAGCTCCGCCCCCCAGGCGCCTCCTCGCCAGGAACCACCCCGGGCGGCGAGGACTATTTTGGAACCTTCCACGCCAGACCGCGCCTAGCGCCCCGCCCTTTCCGGAGCTCTTTGGAAAGCTCCGCGCTGCGGCCTCCCGGGGACCAAGAACAGACCCCGCCCTACTGACAATCTGCTGCTCCCCGGGGGTGCTTCCGCCACCCTACGAAGGGCCACTCGCCGCCCGTGTTGCCTCTGTCTCTTCGGAAACATTCTCCCGGCAAACAACCCCCCGCCCTCAAGGCGCCGCTCGGACCTCGGGCTCCTGCAAGACCAAGGGGATCACGGTAGAGTCTCCCCGAGTGCAGTAGAACAGCACCCCCGTGTGGCCCTGTCCTCCAGAACCCGCGGAATGGCCGGATTCGTGGGCTGCAGCAGAGATCCGCCAGACCTATGCTAAGGTAGAAAAAGTGTTTAAAAAAAAAAACTAGCGTCACAGTCATGGACAACATCATCCTTCAGGGTCTGGCTCAGGCGTTCACTCCGCTAGGAAGTGCTCCCTGATTCCTCCCACCTGGATCTCCGACGTCCCCCCTGTGCATCCCCTATCCTGGCCCTGACCCCTGTGCCTGTGTCTCCTCCATCCATTCTGGCCCTGACCCTCCGGGCTGTCACTGGGCCTGTGGAGCCTGGGACAAGAGCTGTCTTAGTCACCACTGTGTTCCCAGCATCGCCCAGAGCAGCACAGAGTAAGGTTCAGACGACCTGCGGGGCACCTCCTAGGGAGCATTCATTTAGTCCCTCACACATATTTTGCTTAGTTTTGTTTAACAGTTTTGTTGAGGTGTATTCTACATATCATAAAATTCACCTGTTTTAAGTGATGTAATGATGCGGAGTGTTTCTGCAGAGTTGTACGGCCATCATCACAATCCAATTTTCTTAAATTTATTTTTTACAATCCAATTTTAGAACATTAACGTCACCCTAAAAAGACCTCTTGTGCCCGCTTGTAGTCAATTCCCATTCCCATTCCCAGCCCCAGGCGATCGCTGATTACTTCCCTTCATTATGTATTCTTCTCTTCATTTTACAAGCGTTTTCGGAATACTTGCTTCTATCGGATACTAAGTGCTGAGAGGATACGCAATGACACACACAGGCCCTGCCCTCAGGGACCTCAAAGTCTGGTTGGGGCGATGGCTAATGGGAAGATATATTTGCTCGCTCGTTCCTTCATTCAAAAATATATATTGAACACCTGTGCCAGCTACTGTTCTAGGCCCTAGGGATATAGCAGTGGGGGGGACAAAGAAAAAAATCTCTCTTTGTTGGAGTTGATATTCTAATGAGAGGATTAAAAAAAAAAATAAGCAGGTAGATATGTGATTTAATGTTGGAAGCCATGGCAAGAGTTTGCCTTCTGGTCTAAGAAGGACGGGAAACCACTGGAAATTTTCAGCAGTGGGGTGACGTGATCTGATTTACGCTGTGTAAAGGTTCACTCTGACTGCCACGAGGAGAATGGATTATGTGGTGGCCAGCAAGGGTGAGAGTCAGGGTGGGGAAGTGATGATGACCTAGTCTAGGGCAGGAGCAATGGGAAGGGGAGAGAGCGATTAGGAGATAAAATCAAGATATCAAGCCGAGGACCTTAGTGGGTCAGTTGGGATAATTTGCATATGGACTATAGTATTATATTAATCTTAAAGTTTCCTGGTGTGATAATGGTATTGTGCTCGTGAAGGAGAATATCCTTGCTCTTGAGGGAGGTCTGCTGAAATATTAAGGGTGAAATGTCACACAATGACTGCAAGCAATTCTCAAATAGACCTTTTTCTATTTACAACTCTCTACCTATAGATATCTATATACATAGCTATCGATATATAGTCACCAGTTGTTAACAATTAGTCATCTCACCCTCACTTTCTATCAATATCTGTATCTATATCTATTTACCTATCTATCTAGAAAGGGAGCGAGAGCTAATTGTTAAAACTGGTGAATCTGTATCAAGAATATGTGGATATCCCTTATACTTTTCTTGCAATCCTTTTTTTTTTTAAAAAACAAACAACGTTTTATTGTACAGTTGATTTACAATGTTGCATTAGTTTCAGGTATACAGCAAAGTGATTCAGTTTTATAAATATATTCTCTTTTGGATTTTTTTTTATTGTATTGGATATAGTTCCCTGTGCCATACAGCAGGTCCTTGTTTTTTTTATCTATTTTATGTATAGTAGTGTGTATCTGTTAATCCCAAACTCCTAATGTGTCCCTCCCCCTCCTTTCCCCTCTGGTAACCATAAGTTTGTTTTCTGTATCTGTGAGTCTATTTCTGTTTTGTAAATAAGTTCATTTGTATCACTTTTTTAGATTCCACATACAAGGGATATCCTGTGATATTTGTCTTTCTCTGTCTGACTTTCTTTTTTTGCAATTCTTGTGCACATTTTTTTTTTTTTTTAATTTGGCTGTGCTGGGTCTTAGTTGCTGCATGCAGGATCTTAGTTGTGGCATGCGGGATCTAGTTCCCTGACTAGGGATCGAACCTGGGCCCCCTGCATTGGGAGCTTGGAGTCTTAACCACTGGACCACCAGGGAAGTCCCTCTAGTGCACATTTAGAAATTTTCAAAAATAAAAAGTTGGAGGCGGGGGGAGCATCCGTTTTGGAGGTAAGCACAACTCGTTGATGGGTTAGCTCTGTGGAGTGAGGAGGGGAAGGTGCCCTCCATGTTGCCCAAGCTCCTGGCTTGAGTTCCTCAGTGGAAAGTGCAGCTCTGGTCTGAGATGGGGAAGACTCTGGTGGTGGAGGAGGACAAGTATGAAGGGGAATGTTGACAGTTTGGGAAAGACATACTCGGTGTCAGTCAGAGGCTTGTCAAGAAAAGAGAAGGGACTTCCCCAGTGGCCCAGTGGGTAAGACTCCGCACTCCCAATGCAGGGGTCCCGGGTTCGATCCCCGGTCAGGGAACTAGATCCCACATGCATGCCCCAACTAAGAGTTTGCATGCCACAACTAAGGAGCCCACCTGCTGCAACCAAGACCCGGTACAACCAAATAAATAAATAATTAATTAATTTAAAAATACATTTAAAAAAAAAGAGAAAAGAGAAACCACACCAGGTATTTCAACAGAGAGAATTGAATATAAGGATCAGGCTAAACAGTGAGACCTGCCTGACCTCCAAAAATCAGTTTATCCTGAAGGTGTTGGAAAGTGGGGCTGGGGCTCTGAGGAGAGGGCTGGGCCCTGTCCAGACCCCAGAGACACCAGGGATGTGTTCGTTGGAAGACAGGTGGGCACATGGACAGTAGATGAAGACAAGGCCCCTCTCTGGCTACACCTGTTCAGGTTGGCTCCAGCTGTGCGATGGATGGCAGAGGCCTGTGGGAGATGGGCCAGGCTGGGCTTGGGAGCCGGTCAGCCTGGAGCCCACATTTCATTCTCCAGGCAGTTGTGTCAGAAGGCACTAGATTGGGTCGGGGCATTTTTTTCCAGAGATTTCTTTTTCTTTTTTGGCGGGGGTGGGGTGTGCCACGCGGCTTGTGGGATCTTAGTTCCCCAGCCAGGGATCTAACCTGGGCCCTCGGCAGTGAAAGCTCGGAGTCCTAACCACGGGACCGCCGGGGGATTCCCTCCAGAGATTTGTCTTTGTAGGAGAGCTTTATTTTTTATTTACTTTATGCAGCCATAGAGGAGAGACAGATAGAGATAGAGGATGGAATAGAGAGAGGAGATGAGAAAGAATGAAAGAGGGTTTCCCTGGTGGCGCAGTGGTTGGGAGTCCACCTGCCGATGCGGGGGATGCGGGTTCGTGCCCCGGTCCGGGAGGATCCCGCGTGCCGCGGAGCAGCTGGGCCCGTGAGCCATGGCCGCTGAGCCTGCGCGTCCAGAGCCTGTGCTCCGCGACGGGAGATGCCACAGCAGTGAGAGGCCCGTGTACCGAAAAAAAAAAAAAAAAAAAGAAAGAATGAAAGAGGGAGATTCACTTTTGAGGAGCCGCAGGGTTTTGGAACAATCTTTGAAAAAGCCTTCATTCACATTTTGTGGCTGCCCCATAACTAGTGTGATTGATCCGTGGTTGTGGGAGTTTGAGCATGATTTGCTGCTATAAACAGTGCTATGGTGGACGTCCTTACTGCTAAATTCTTCCGTGCACATGTGCACACAATAAAACCATATTTTATTGACCCCTTCCTCCCCTACTTGTTAACACCTCTGAAATCAGAATGCAGCTTACAACGCTCGTGGGTCATAGTTTAACTGGCAGGTTTTTTTTCTCTCCTGGTGATTTGAAGTAACAACGCATCTTACCATCGATGGCCTCTTGGATGTGAATGGTCACTGGAGTAACAGTAGTACTCAGAGAAAACACTCTTGTAACACTTACTATGAGCCAAGGTAACTCATAATAACCCTGGGAGGTGGATACTGTTATTGTCTCCATTTTCCTGATTGAGCCACAGAGTGGTTAAGGAACTTGCCCAGAGTTGCACAGCAAGGAAGTGATGGAGTGGGAATTAGAACCCAGGCAGTAGCTCCAGAGTCTCTTTGTATGTCTGAATTTTGCAGTATTTATTTACTTATTTATTTGGCCACACCCCGTGGCTTGCGGGATCTCAGTTTCCCGACCAGGGATTGAACCCGGGCCCCACGGTGAAAGCCCAGAATTCTAACCGGTAGGCCACCAGGGAACTCCCAGTTTCCAGCATTTAGTACCAAGTTGAACATTGTAGTTGAGATGCCTCCCCCACCACACACCCCCCAACCCTGTTTATACGCAAGAGCCCCCGCTCCAGGTCCTAGATAACTGGATCAAAGAGATACCAATCCATCCAAAGGGGCACTTTGGACATTTGAGGCTGCATTGTCCTGTACACTGCAGCACGTTTTGAATGTCTAGCCATCCCAGGCTTATACATGCCTTTAGAACAGGTCTCAAAGTTTGGTCCAGGGTACCCTGGGAGTCCCCAAGACCTTTTGTGCACAAAGTTAAAATTATTTTCATAATATTACCAGGACGTATTTCGCCGAGTTCACTGTCATTTTCTCATGAGAAGTGGGATTTGCCTGCCCTCTTTTTGGATCTGAGCAGGCTTGTGAGTTGCTTATAACCAGCAGCATGTTGCAGAAGTGATGCTGCATGAGCCCCAAGGCTAGATCAGAAGAGGTGAGGCTGTTTCTGCCTCTTTCGTGAAACAGAGACGCTGAAGACCAGAGCTGCCATGCAAGAACTTTGACTGCCCTGAGGCCACCACGATTAGAGGAAGCCCAAACCAGCCCACAGGGAGAGACCACATGGAGAAGCCTTGTGAGTACAAGGAGCGAGAGAGAGCTACCCACACCCCCCCAGCTGGTACCTCAACTGGGACACCCCACCGTCCCAGCTTCAGCCACCAACTCATTACATCCATATGGGATCCCAAGGCAGAACTTCCCAAAAATCTGACCACAGACATGGTGAGAGATAAAAGGCTTACTGTTGTTGCTTTAAGCCACCGTATTTTGGAGAGATTTGTTGTCTAGCGATGGTAACTAGAAAGAGGGTGGAGTACAGAAAATAAGGAGCTTGCAGAGAATGGCGGCCTGGAGAGCTGAGAATAAGTATCTGTTGACAATAACAGTAGCGAATATAAGTGCTTTCTGTGCGTGAGCACCATTCTAAGTGCTTGGCGTTAATGAGCTCATTTAATCCTCACAGCAGCCCTAGGAAGCGACTGTCATTACTATCTCCGTTTTACGGGAAGCAAGGCAGGGAGGACATCGGGAATTGGATTGAACCTCGGCTGTGGCTTCAAGCAAAGGGCATTACCGTTGAGGAACATGTGACTTGGCTCAGCCAGTCTGGGCATTTGGGTCCACCCCAGGCCACAGTGATTGTCTCTGGCACTGCCGTGTGACCTCAGCTGGACAGTCAGAGTCAGCCTTATTACTTTGTTGGGGAAATCTGAGACGAAGGTGCTCCCCTTTACCTGGGGGATATGAATGAGGGTCCCTCTGGCCCAGAGGCCGCTGGCAGCTATCTTGGGAACTGCCGCTGGAAAAGGTGGGGCAGAGGGATGAAAAGAAATGGGGTCCCTGGTGACACTGCTGAACAGATGTGTCAGCTTTAGCTGAAGCCAGCCAAGTGTGGAATTTCCAGTTACAAATTTCCTTTACAGTTTAAGCCATCTGAGTCAGCTTTTCTGTTGCTTGTGTCCAAGATTAATCAGAATATTTAACAACCAGTGATTTGGGCACTGAGCGATCAGAAGGCTTCATTGCTGTGCCTGACATTAAGGCTTTTTTCCCCCCTGCATTGGGAGGTCTGGGAAGTGGGGTGAAGGGGAAGTTAGAGTGGTCACTGTGTGGAAAATGTGCAGATCTTGAGGCAGCATGATTTACCAACCGATACAGAAATAATTTAGTATCTCAACAATCAGCGTAGCAAGATAGCTTGTCCAAGCTGTGAAAATGAATAAACAGAAGCCTCATTTAAAATGAAGTTGGGGGCTTCCCTGGTGGTGCAGTGGTTGAGAGTCCGCCTGCTGATGCAGGGGACACGGGTTCGTGCCCCGGTCCGGGAAGATCCCACGTGCTGCGGAGCAGCTGGGCCCGTGAGCTGCGCGTCCGGAGCCTGTGCTTTGCAACGGGAGAGGCCACAATAGTGAGAGGCCCGTAGCGCCAAAAAAAAAAAAAAAGTTGGGCGGCCAGAAGGGAGAGCTGTCATGCTCTGCCTCTCCAGGACAATTATAGACTGGACAGGAAGAGATGTACCTTTCTACTTTCAACAGGAAGAAGGTTACTGCTTTACTACCCATCAGGAGGAAGGAAAAATTTCTTCTTGCCCAGCAACGGTCCAGCCACTAAAAGGAGACTGTTACAGCTCAGCCAAAGAAAAGCGATTAAACTTAAAGCTCCCAGTTTCTTCCACCGGACTCGGTTTATAACAGACCCTCCCAAACTCTCCCTTCTCCTCTATAAAAGAATGTGCCTCTCCTTTGTTCTCCCCACTTGCTTGTGCTTTACCATAGAGTCCATGTCCCAAATTGTAATTCTCTGCTATTCCCAAATAAACCCATTTTGCTGGTAAAATTCCTGGCTGTTTTATTGTTTTAGGTTAAAAAAGCTGAATATTAGCTTTACTTGCCAACTGACGCAACCCCCTTTTGACATGTGCTAGAGTGAATGGATTTCTGTTTCCTACAACTGGGGGAAGAAAAAAAACCCTCTTATGAACTCTAGTCATGAATCAAACTTTAGGAAATAACAAATAGCAGTGAAATCTCACTTTAACCGTATGAGGTCATTTCAGCTTCGGGTCAGGCAGAAACACTGGAGATTTTGACTATGAGTTGCCAGGGGATCCGCACCCTTTGGCCCAGCAATCCCACCACTGGGACGCACAAAGATGTGCATCGAGGCATTATTTATAATAGGAGGAAATTGGAAACAGCTTCAATGTCTGGCAACACTGCCCTGTTGAGTAAACACCATGCAAACATTAGAGATTGTGTTTATGCAAAGATGTTTTAACAAGGGAACAGCTTATGTTTTAAGAAGGGAAAAAGCAGGACTGTATAAACAATTTGCTCACACAGTTATGTAAAACACACACACACACACACACACACACACCACTTTTCAAGCCTGAATAAAATAGAAAAGGCTGAAAGGAAATACATCAAAATGTTAACTACAGCAGTGATGTGGGATTAGGGAAGAGGTATCTTTGTCTTTCTAGTTTTCTGTATTTTCCAAATTGTGCTTAACCAACAACGAACTCTTATTTTTAATTTTATTTTCGAAAATTTTAACTTAGGTCATGAACATTTCCAGACAGCTACCAAAAGCAGAGAGACAATAAACTCACATGGGCCCATCACTCAGCTTCAAGAACTGTCAACATTTTGCTATTTCATCACCCTTCCCCTCTATATGGAAATACTTAAAAAAAAATACAAGTGATGGACATCGTGTCCATTCTTAAATACCACAGTGAACATCAAAGTAAAGGGGGGGAGGGGCTGCATCTCCTTATATAACTCCAAAGCCTTATCACATCTAACAAAATTAACAAAATTTTACATGTCATCTCACAGCCAGTCCTTATTCAGGTTTCCCCCAACTGTCTCAAAAACATATCTTTACAGTGGTTGTCTTTGAATTGAGATACAAAGTACATTCACTGTTTTTTTTTTAAGATTCTTATTTACAAACAATAAAAGCCATCCACGGGTGTGTGTGTGTGTGTGTGTACACCGTTTTATGAATTTTAATAAATGCAGAGAATTGTATAACCGCCACCACAAGCAGGGTTCATGGCCGTTCTGTCACTCCAAAAATTCCCTCAGGCTTTGTAATCAAGTGTGTTTGTGTTTCTGTATTTTTTCTTTGTTTCTACTGGGAGGAAAAAAGCAGTAATCGGAGGTGGTTGAAGCCCTGAAGTTATCTAAGATTTCAAAGCAAGGGTTATGCTTTGGGGGTCTTCTGCTCCAGCCCTGCCCTCTGGCTTGGGGGTCTTCCTCTCTTGGAGAGGCAGTTTCCTCATCTGTAAGGTAGGTGCTGTGAGGACCCAGTGAGTAAGGAAGTGTGCCCAGGAAGCTCTCAGTGATAGCATTGCTTAGTCTGACCTGCCCTTCCTTCTTTATTCACAGCCCTGCAGGCTGAGCCATCTCCTTGTCCGGGCACCAGGCCTGCACAGAGCAGCCATGCCCTCCTTACATCCTCTCCTCCCTCGCCCTCACAGCCAACATGACTCTACATTCCGTGGTTTCTACTTTCCGTGGGACTGGAATTCACCCGCTCCTCCAGCCCAGAGTCCACAGGGCCTGTCCCATCTGGGTGCTTGCCTGGCCTCCAGCCTTCCTTTGGGTCACCTGGGCCCCCTCAGCACCTTCCCCCCAACCCCCAGCTTCCTAAATGTCACCACACCCTCTGGTGTGTCCCTGGATATCACAGAGACCTGCCAAGTGCCTCCATTCCCTATACAAGTTTATTTCCGGGCTTCCCTGGTGGCACAGTGGTTAAGAATCTGCCTGCCAATGCAAGGGACATGGGTTCGAGCCCTGGCCTGGGGAGATCCCACATGCCACGGAGCAACTAAGCCCGTGTGCTACAACTACTGAGCCTGCGCTCTAGAGCCCGCAAACCACAACTACTGAGCCCTCGTGCCGCAACTACTGAAGCCTGCGCGCCTAGAGCCCGTGCTCCACAATGAGAAGCCACGACAATGAGAAGCCCGCGCACCGCAACGAAGAGTAGCCCCCACTCACCACAACTAAAGAAAGCTTGTGCACAGCAACAAAGACCCGACACAGCCAAAAATAAATAAATTTATTTTTTTAAAAAAGATTATTTCCCATAATAATCAGGAAATGAAATAAACAATATTAATGGCCAGAAAAGAGATGCAAAGGCTGAACTGTTCTCGAACCTCATATATATATAAAATCATGCCAATAAAAAAGAATTTAAAAATAAATATTACAGTACAAAAAAGAAAAAGTAGCACTGCTATTAATTCAAAGTTTATTGAAAGATTCAGAGTTGGAACTTGGATCCTTTGGTTACAGTCTGATGTAATAAAACTTCATGTAAATAATTGTGAGTTTTTTTCTTCTTGAGGAGAGGGAGAGATTGGGAGGGAGGAAGAGACACAGAGAGAAACCAAGAGAGAGCGTGCATGCAGGCAGGTTGCATTTCCAGTGGCTACTTTACAGGGAGTCTCAGCGCTGAGTCCCACCGTCCAGACATTGGGCCCTGAGCACTTGGGGGCCACGCTGCAAAGCAAGCCCCCCGCCCCCGCCCGTCAGTACTAAGGGCAAGGGTATCACAGGAGCATTACTTCCCGCTGCCTGGATGGGATTCAGAAATCCCATCCCTCCTTCTCCCTTTACAAGACCCCCTCCGCATACATCCCCGCCCCGGCCCTGTGCCCTGGCCCCGGCCCGCTCGCTGCCTGAGTTCTGAGTGGGAAGATGCGCTTAGTAAGCTGAAGAAGGGAACTGAGGCGGCGGGGCAGGGCGTGCGGGTATAAAAGCACATTGTGTTGGGAGAGAGGGGCCTGAGGGCCGGAAATGTCTTGTTTCTTAAGTTGGGTGGTGGGAACACGGAGGTTCATTCCATTTTGTTTTCGTTTGTTTTGTTTCTTGAAGCTGTTTATTGAAGTCGACGCGCGTGCAAAACAGTACAGACCGTAAGTGTTCAGCAGGGTGAATTTCCGCCGGTTGAATGCACCTCGGTCACCAGCGCCCAGACCAAGAAACAGTTTGGCTCCTTTCAGCGCATCTGCCCTCCCATCAGGGTCATCCTCATTCTGACTTCTGACGGCACAGACTGTTTTTTCCTGTCCTGAATTTAACGTAAATAGAAGCAGAATATGTATCATCTCGAGTATCTGGTTTTTTCCACTCAACGGCAGTGTGAGACTCATTCTTGTAATCGCGTGTAGTCATAGGTTGTTCTCATTGCGGATACCGCTGTGTGGCTGTACCCAGTTTATTTATCCGTTCTCCACTGGTGGCGAAGGAGTGAGCCAAGTGGAAAGAGTCCCCCAGGCAGAGGGAACACCCAGTGCAAAGGTCCTGAGGCGAGAACATGCCTGGTGTTTCAGAGAAACAATAAGGAGATCCATGTGCCTGGAGAGGACTAAGCGGGGAGGAGAGGGCGGGGGACGAAACCAGAAGCAGATGGTGCAGAGTCGTATCGGCTGCAGAGGGGGCTCCAGCTTTTACTCTGAGTGAGATGGAGCAGGGGAGGGACTGGATCTGACTTGGGTGTTCAGAGTCCCTCTAGCTGCTTGAGAAAGGGACTGGGGGGTGGGGCAGCGGTGGGAGCAGGAAGCCTGGGGAGGAGGGTGGGACACGGGTCGCCGGAAGTGTTTAGGCTCGGAATACAATTTTTCTCTGTGTGATTAGTGATATATTTTATTCGCTCCAGTCATCATACTGTGTGATTTTATTGTCCCCATTTTTTTCTATGCTTCCCCCCCACCCTCATTAAGGCTTTTTTTTTTTTTTTCTGGTACGCGGGTCTCTCACTGTTGTGTCCTCTCCCGTTGCGGAGCACAGGCTCCGGACGCTCAGGCTCAGCGGCCATGGCTCACGGGCCCAGCCGCTCCGCGGCATGTGGGATCTTCTCGGACCGGGGCACGAACCCGTGTCCCCTGCATCGGCAGGCGGACTCTCAACCACTGCGCCACCAGGGAAGCCCCGGCTTCTTTGAAGTGACTGCGTTTTTTGTTTGTTTGTTTTGTCTTGTGTTTTTTCACTCTTCCTTTTCCCTCCACTAATTTGGAATCTAGGCACCATTTCTATTCTTTCAGGAGTAATCCTTGAAATTTTATCATGCACACTGTAAAAACTCAGATCTGAAGTTTAATTAAAAGTTTAATCTTCAGACCAAACACTACCTGGATCATGGAGCACTTTATCTCCCCAGTTCTACTTATATTGATATTGTTGTCCAGAATTTTAGATCTCAAAAAAATTTTTTAACCTTTTTTCTTTGGAGATAAATTCAAATTTACACCAATTTGCAAGACTAAGAATAGCATAAAGAACATTCATATACTTTTACTCAGGTTCATTTCTTGTTAACATTTTTACCCTCTTTAACATTTGCTCTGGAGACTTCCTGGTGGTCCAGTGTTTAAGACTCCACACTCCCAGTGCAGGGGGCATGGGTTCAATCTCTGGTCAGGGAACTAGATGCCGCAACTAAGACCCAGCGCAGCCAAATAAATAAACAAACAAGTATTTAAAAAAAATTTGCTCTGTTATGTTTGTGGGGGTTGTATAATTTGAAGCTAAGTTACATACACATGGCCTTCTGCTCCTAAATATTTCAGTGTGCATTTTCTAAGAATATAGATATTCTTTTACATAACCACAGTACAATGACTAAGTTCATAAATTGAACATTAACATGCAAAAGTTTCTTACTCTACTATTTGTATTCCCGTTTTGTCATTGACCCAATAATGTTCTAATTTATAGCATAACTTTTCCTCCGATACAGGACAACAGGATATATTGTGCAACACAGGGAATACAGCCTATATTTTATAATAGCTATAAATGG